TGGAGTGGACTTCAGGGTACAGAGGAACATGGTCCTTTTGTCACTTTAACAGTAGTCAATGATTGTGATCCCTTAAAAACAATGACTTGAGGAGGGAGACGGCCAAGAGAAATTCTCTTCTGCCATTTTTTTTCCAAATGTTGTGTAACAGATGAACTGTAGACATACAATTCATACAATTATTGCTTGACCAATAACCTCCATCAAGAAGATTGCACCATATTGAAATTGCATATTTCTTGTCATTCAGTTTCAATTATTGTCTGATAGCATTATGATGCAAATCTAAAATGGCTCATAGAGACTGCAGTGAAAAAAGATTCATAAAATGTTTCATGATTACTTTCGGGTTCACAATAACAGTTATTTCCCATGGTGAATGTTTTTTTTTTATTTCTCTACTTTTAAATCTATCTTTCTCTTCTTTTTGACGGAAAAGGAGTGTTCAGAAAGCAATACAGTAATTTTGTAAGCTGAGAGTATACTGCTTCCTTTTTGCTTTTGTTTGGTCTTTTCTGTCTGTTTGATCATTTTAATTCTCTTAATTTGTTTTTTGCTGCGTAACGGTTTCGCTATAATGCATTGAATTACGTTCTTCTTTACTCAACAAACTGCAACTTCTCTCCTTATCATTACAGAAGGAAAAGGCAAGATCTCTATGGAAGATTTTCCATAATAACACCGGGCCATTATTCCTGACGTGATTACTTATGTTCTTCTTTACGTGCTGATACCTATTTCAAATGGAATTGTGACATATATAAGTACAGACCTTCTCGTTTCAGTTATGCGATCTTCTTTTGGACTTATCGACCAATTCAACGGTTCTCTTGGCGTAATCACATGCCAGAGGTATTTGATAGTTCCTTGACAGTTCAGATTTTGTGATGTCAAAAAGAATCCACCAGCATATTGCAAATTAATTTTCGGAATAAATCCATTTCTTAGTTATTGTCGTGGATAATTTCCTGTGAGTACATTGTGCCGACCAGAAATTTAAAAATGTTAAGTCTTGTTCGATTTGGAAAAAGGAAAAATATTTAAACACGAACTGAAAAGTTGTCAAGAAAACACCTCTAAATATGAAACATAAAGTTCGAGAATCAAATGCAACTCTGTTTTTGGAAGTCTTTTCTTGTTAGAGATCAAAAGGAAAAAGTTAAACTTAATAACTGCTTCAATTTGATGATCCCTGGTTATTTTCGTTGTAAAGTTTATCATGCGTGCCTAATATTGTAAGCTTGAATTCTTGTTTTCAATACGATTTTACCAGTGGGCATATTTCCAGTTTTTTCACTTTAGCGAAAAAGGAGAAGATTTAAGAAGATGTTTGGCAAGAAATCATTTTTAAAGAACGGCTTAATGAAAATTGCGGATTGAGCATTTATGGTTCAATGTCGTGATCGGTTGAGTCAATTATGAAGTACGGGAAAAAGGTAATTTGTAAACTTTTAACACGATATTGGCAATATGCCCTTGCTTTGAAATAATTTGTTTTGTTAGTCAAATTCCGACTGGCAGCTGTTTTCAAAAGAAGCCGCGCCAGTAAAAATGTTGCTATATGAAACGAGTGCAGTAGAAAACGACGAGTGTAGAATTCTGTCGTGCCGAGGAGACTTGAGTTGGGGTATCAACTGCTGAATTGGAGAGATTTGTTCTCGGTGAGTTTTCAACTTGGCTTAAGAAGGTAAATTTTCAAAACCTACGATTCAAGTAGCAGTAAGTTAGTAGCTGGTAAAAACATCTTCAAAGCAAGAAAAACTTGGCTCTTGAAATCTTTGCAAGTTCTTCCTAACTGATTTATTAGTTTCGAATGATTTACAGACTATTTTTTCACCGGTATATGTTGCCCTGATCTAGGATATCTGGAGTATGTTTTGAATTTTAACAAATCCCTTAGTAAAAAGTACATAAGAAATCTTTATTAGAGACTTTGAAGTGCCAAAGGAGCGCAGTTCTTGTAATTCAGCCATTCGTAGACACATAAGCCAGAGCTTTGAGTATCCATCGTGTTTCTTTCATTGAATCTTGAGAGGTAGATTTTTAGAGGACGATTCTTCCAGAAAAAAAAAGCAACAACACACAAACACTACCAGTAGGTTGTCGTTTCCAGTTCAAATAAATGGTAGATTCTTAATTGCTGATAAATGCAATTAAAGATAAAGAAAGATTTATAGCAGCAGTAACTAAATCTTACTAGGGGAGAGAAAAAGGGGAAAAAGAAGAAGAAGAAAGCGAAGGAGGAGAAGCGTAGAGACGTCACTTGACAAAGTAAGAGAGAATTTGTTTGCTCGTTGTTTCGAAAGAGACCTTCGGGGAGGAAAATGCCTCCATCAGGCTCACTTATCAAACCGAAAATTTCATTAGGAGATACATTTAGACAAAGGAGGTCTTGTTAATAATATTTGAAAAGCTTATACGTTACTTACAAAGTGATTCGTAAAATTAAGAATTAAAATGGAAACGTTCAGCAGTTGGTGTGATTACATGTTCAAGTGTCGGATTTAGTGATTCGATCTGTTCTTTCACAATTGAGCGCATCAATCGGAATTGCATGGAAACAAACCAAAAACATTTGTATGTAATCTATTCCCGAAGATCTCCGTTAAACTTTCATTCGATAGTATATTCAAGAACTATTTCCTTGGTTACAT